ATTCGAAAACTTGTTATCCGCGAAAATTTTTATTTTATATTTCATTCAAATATACTGCAGACCAAAGCAAAATACAAATTCTCCAAAAGATTGTTATCCAAATATATAAAAGTTATATGAAAATAACAATCTGAATTCAAAAACTTGTTATTTTTACTAATGCAAGAACAAAGTGAAATACAAAAACCTCCAAAAGATTGTTATCCAAATATATGAAAGTTATATGAAAATAACAATCTGAATTCAAAAATTTGTTATTTTTACAAACGCAAGAACAAAACTAAATACAAAAACTCCCAAAAACCTTCGCTGTCCAAATATATGAAAACAAAGTATAAAAATAACAATATGAATTGAAAAACTTGTTATCTTTACAAACGTAAGAACAAAGCGAAATACAAAATCCCCTAAAAACCTTCGCTGTCCAAATATATACAAAAATAACAAGATGAAATCTTCGAATTGTTATCCATAAAATAATTTCCAAGTACACAGAAACATATCCGATAATTTCCTATTTCTGAAAGTTCGATTTTCCATTAGATGATATTTGCTCTTTCAATAATCCAATTTTAACCCTTGCATAACCGAACCATTGACACACAATCGCAGCCTCTATAGAAAACTGACTGACTCACTCTCCCAGCAACTCTTCAATCAAAGGAGATAAAAAAATCAATGAGGAATTGATGTGCCTTCATCGTAAGAGTATGTCAAGTTTCCTTTCTTTATTTTGGTTCATATTTCATTTTATTGACTGTATTATCAGGGACTTGATGTCAGTCTTCAACCGGTCTTGACTGATTTGAGAAGAATTTGTCTGGTATAGGCTTTTGAAGCTATGAAACAAACTTTTTGTATCCTGTTTTTATGCCCTCGAGATGAATTTCTAGTGTTCTATGTTTCTGACACTAAAAAGCCTAATAAACAGACCATACCATGCTGTATGCAATGAGGGAAATTTTGACAGGACAGCAATATTAGCCTTTCTCTTCAACTGTCAAGTGATCTTTTTGGTATAGTATCAACAAAATGAAATATCCTATGTTTCTGTTCGTAATTGGGCTAATAAACACAGACAATACCCCGCAGTTAGCAATAAGAGAAATTTTAAAAAACCAGCACTAGGTACCTATACTACTTCATCTCCAACTGTGAAGAGATCTTTAAGTTTGTAGCGCATGGGACTGGATTGAATGCCATCCCCAAAAATGGGTCCCTCCAGATATATTACTTGTACTTCCAGATATATTACTTGTCCCTCCAGATATATTACTTGCCCCTCAAGATATATTACTTGGCCCTCCGGATATATTACTTGCCCCTCTGGATATATTACTTGACCTTCCAGATATATTACTTGCCTCTCCAAACATATTACTTGTCCCTCCAGATATATTACTTGTTCCTCCAGATATATTACTTGTCCCTCGAGATATATTACTCGACCCTCTAGATATATTACTTGCCCTTCCAAACAATAAGTCTGACTAGGGCCTGCCAAAAAAAAAAAAAACCAAAAACCTACTACGAATTTTACACCACATAAATAAGACATGTTCACTCATTTGAAACACCTGATACCACTATGATTTTCAACTCAACAATTACTTTAAGGGAGTCCACATCTAGCTAAGAATATTCATTTTTTCAGCAGATTTGAAAAATGGAAGAATATCTCAAAAATATAAACAAAATTCTTTTTTTTCCACCTTTTTTGAGATACTTTCATTTACTCAAAAAATTCTAAAAGTTCTAAAAAATTTCTAAAAGTTCTAAAAAAATTCTAAAAGTTCTAAAAAAATTCTAAAAGTTCTAAAAATCATTCTTAAAAAATTCGGATGTTCAAATTCATAATTCACACTAAATTCATTTCAAATACTTGAACACAATACCCTAAGAGAACATTAATGAAATGATATGTTCTTTTTTTGAGAACACAGGCTTGAAATCATGAGCATAGAGAACATGCTTCATCTGGAAGTTCGTTCTTCTCATTGAGACAACTTCTTAGAAAATTCAGCTAGCCATTGTGCACAAATTAATCAAATGTAACAGCTTATTCAAAACAATGTTGTTAAAATTTTCAGAATTACATCTTTCATAAAGAACAGAGATAATCAAAGAAAGACATTTTTTTTTTTCAAGGATAACAATTTAGGTTCTCGAAGATCCTGTCTACCAGCTGGTCCTTGACCAAACCTTTAGGCATTGATTTTCTGTACCCATTTACAGCTGGGTTGACCAGAATAATGAGAATCCTTTCTACCAGCTGGTCCTTGACCAAACCTCTTGGCATTGATCTTTCCCAGATTATCTGTACCCATTTACAGCTGGGTTGACCAGAATAATGAGGATCCTGTCTACCAGCTGGTTCTTGACCAAACCTCTTGGCATTGATCTTTCCCAGATTATCTGTACCCATTTACAGCTGGGTTGACTGGAATAATGAGGATCCTTTCTACCAGCTGGTCCTTGTCCAAACCTCTTGGAATTGATCTTTCCCAGATTATCTGTACCCATTTACAGCTGGGTTGACTGGAATAATGAGGATCCTTTCTACCAGCTGGTCCTTGACCAAACCTCTTGGAATTAATCTTTCCCGGATTATCCCTACCCATTTACAGCTGGGTAGAAAAGAAATGATAAGGAAAGATGACTTAATCGTTAAATTTATGCAGAACGGCTAGCCGAATTTCTAATTTTCAAAGGGCTTCCGTTTTTTTGTTGCGAAATTCACATATGGTCTCCAGAATGCTTCATGCTTGAAGAAAAGTGCTTGCTTAAGCTGCTCGGAACACTTTTTTTGTACCTTACCTTACAAAGTGAACGCTTAGGAAAGCCTAACTTACTTCAGAACAAGGGGGACATAATTTAGAAATTCCTACCTTGATGCATTCAAGCACACACAAATCTGTGATAAGTTTATCTTTAATCAAAAAAATTTTTTTTCTGCAATCTGATTGGATAATTTCAAATTTTCAAAAATTCAAAATATGCATCGAGGCAAGAGATTGGCCGAAAATTTTATCCTTAACCAATGAAATGATAGGAAAAATTAAAATAATGTAGGAACCTACCCGACTTGAACCACTGGAATAAGAGCGTCTCTTGTGACGATGGCGCCGGTTCCGTCTGCGATGATGACTGCTGTAATGACTACCGGAATTATGCCTGGAACGACTTCCACCAGTATCATAGCGCCGACTTCTACTACGAGTTCTGCGATGGTGCCGTTCTGGTGTCTGGGATCTTTCTCTGCGAGACGAATGTCGATATCTTTCCCTTCTGGTTACATCTGAACGATTACTAAAAAAAAATTTTCAACTTTTCTGTACCTTCTTTAACTGATAAAGAGACAATACCATGCAGTGAGCAATGAGGGAAATTCAGTCCACAGCAAAAGAGACAAGTCTCAGCCTATTAGATGAAATCGAATTTAGAACCTTTTCATATGAAGAGGCGTTGCCCTGTGTACTCAAAATTACAAAACAAAACATAAAAATGATGATGTTTAAGCTTGTAGATTGGCCCGTTTGAAAATCATCAGAATATAAAAACAGTATTCAGATAAAGAGACACGTATCCCTTTTTAATTTTACAATTTTTAAAAATAATTTCCCCGCACTTTAAGATATCTATGCCTATTATCAAGATATGGAAACCAGTATTTAGGTAAGTGTGTCCCTTTTTAATTTACAATTCTTTAAAATTCTTTTTCCTGCGCTTTAAAATATTTCTAAAATCAGGCAATGGTTAAGAGATATGTAACCCTTTTTAATTTACAATCTTTAATTTCTTTGCCACGCTCATTAATATTTTTCTAAAATCAAGATATGGAAACCAGTATTTAGACTAAGAGGTACCATATGTGTCCCTTTTTAATTTACAATTTTTTTTCTTTCTTTTACAACCTTCACTTTCTTTGCCTGCGCTTACTGGTATTTTTCTAAGCCTAAAATCAGGATTTAGATATAGAGATACCATAGTGGTCCTTTTTAATTTACAATTTTTTTAAAGATTTTTTTAACAACTTTCGCTCTCTCATGGCCTAAAATCAGGATATGGAAACCAGCATTTAGATTAAGAGGTACCATATGTGTCCCTTTTTAATTTAGAATTTTTTTTTCTTTAACAACCTTCACTTTCTTTGCCTGCACTTTTTCATGTATTTCTTAGCCTAAAATCAGGATTTGGAAACCAGTATTCAGATGAAAAGATAGCGTGTTTATAAGCACTTAGAATTTTCCAAGTCCACGACGACTATTTACATTGTTCATTATTTTTATGGAAGCCATTCCATTTAGTTGATTGAATCGGCCAATAAACAAAACCAATCACGCAAACTAGCCAAGGAAACATCTAAACCAATAATCAATTCACACCAAAACACAGGAAATGAGATTTTGATAGAAGAGGTGGGATAGTTTTACAAACTATCAGGGATGTTGATTCATTTGTATTTGCCAGTCATGTCTGATTGGAGCTCCAAAGTGACTGATTGCAATATTGATTTTTAGGACATTATTTTTGCAAATTTGTCATATATTCTCAATGAAATGATATTATTAATAGACGTTAAAGATGGGTTTCCATATTTTTTAGTGTCAAATTAAGCAAACTATTTGATTAAATGGGTTTTTCTAATGAATTATCATGTATTCTTAATCATATCATTATGTTCTTATTGCATATAATTAAGAGTTTTAACCAATCATAAATGTCCATGTATGTACAGTCTGGATAAACAAAAAAAGACATTTTGACCTTTCTTGATCCGTCACTCATTGGAATTCTGATGGTAATTCTCTTCTAATTAAGCTAATTATGAATTAATTATAGACATGTGAGACAAACTGGTATTTTTCCAAGTCATTAGAACACCTCTACTTTCTATTCATATAAGTATTAGCATTTTCACTTTTATAAATGAAAATAAGGGAACCCATCTTTAAACAAAACACCTCTATGCAACAAGCTGTTCACTTAAAACAATCTCCTTATGCTAAGAATTTTAAAAAAATTTCCCTCATAGAACACTGCATAGCTTTACTCGTTTTCATTAATCCAATTAAATTCAAAAACTATGATGTAACCTCCATTTTGATTAACAGGAAAAGAAAGGGAAATTTAGAAACCAATCACTGATTAAAGGGAGCTAACTCCATTAAAGTATGTTTCTTACATAGTAATTCTAGACCACAAAGCCTAATATGGATTGAAGAAAAATTCTCTTATATTACTAAGACTAAAAAAAAATCATTTTTTTTTAATATTCTGTCTCCATTATAATCTAACAAGTTTCTTTTACCTATCACAGTCACATTCTAATGATATTTTAAACCAATCAAAGCTTGTCACATAGAACCCATTTTTTGATTTAAAAAACGAATTGTTGAGCAATCATGACTGTCGTTTTGGTTTCACTATCGAATAATTTGTTATGTTATTTTCTTCATGACATTCTTTGATTGGTTATTAATAATGTCATTAGAACAGAATTGTGGTAGAAAACTTGTTAGATTACAATGGAGCAAAAAAAATCAATCCTTACTAGCTAACTTTAGGGGTACAGATCACATGAAATAATGGAACACAATTTTATACAATGTTTCAACAATTTACATTGTCAAACTACGATTCTCATATTTTTAAAGGAACAAATTGGCCATTTAGGAGGGTTGATTTGAGTCTTGAATATATGTAAATAGTCTTCAGAAATACTAGAAATGTAGAAAAATCACAAAATTCCTTTAAAAATATCTCAAACTAGGAATTTTACTCACTATTTCTATAGATGTCTTTTCTATATATCACAGAGTCTCAAGAAAAGACGAGTCACTTTCAAACGTGGATAATTCTAGACACACATGGATTTGAAGGCTCAAATTTTGACAGTGAGCTGTGAACACTATTATTGATTAGCTTAGCTAAAAAATTCCAGTTTCTGAGACTAAAGTATGATTGGTCAAAAAAAATGGCGCACCTCTCCCTTTAATTTTACAGACCAATCCTGAATAATATTTTTAAACTATTTATTTTACCTTCTGGAATTTCGACATTGATCCTGATAATATCCACCATCATAAAATCTCTACTTCGACGTTTCTTATATCTTCTATCTTCATACGACGAATTAGGACTACGACTTCGACTGTGAGACCGCTTTCTCCTTGATGAATATCTTGGCATCTGAATGGAGAAAAAAACTAGATAAAATTACAGTGTTAAAGATGGGTTCCCTTATTTTCATTTTTGAAAATGAAAATGCTAATACTTATATGAATAGAAAGTAGAGGTGTTCTAATGACTTGGAAAAATACCAGTTTGTCTCACATGTCCATAATTAATTCATAATTAGCTAAATTAGAAGAGAATTACCAGCAGGATTCCAATGAGTGATCGATCAAGAAAGGTCAAAATGTCTTTTTTTGTTTATCCAGACTGTACATAAGATGGGAATGATGGGCATGCTGCATAAGGGTATGTATAGTTCCGAACTGGACTGTGACTAACTATGACAGTGTTTACTTTATTTTGGTATGGCACCTCAATTTCGATGTTCCTTGACCAGATTTCCTTTCGTATTTCGAAATAGTTCAACATTTTACCATGACTTTTTTTGTAAAAGATATAAGTCTATTAATAAGACAAAGTAACTATTTTAACATAAAAGAAAATGTCTCTTCCTATCTCTTTCTTTGTGTCAATGGCTTATATACAAAATGACTTATTACAGGTTTTTGTAAGTAGGTAAGGGCAAATTTTCTTATGGATCTGTCTCAAGCTGACGTTTGATAGACGAACCATCTGGATAACATTCTTTATATACGTGTTTGTTATGGGCAAATCAGGTCAAAACATTAAAAATGGCGGATTTCGTTTCTTATTGAAAGAAACCCATCCTTTGTCATCGAATTCTCGACAAGTTATTGGGTCATTGGTCACCTTTCTCGGCTAGTTCTGCTAGTAAGATGTTAATTTTAACACTTACAGTTCGTTTATTGCTTATAGAATCCCACAAAAAGTTCAAATTTAATTTATTTGTACAACTCGAAACAATTGAGGCTAAAGCTTCCATCGAATTATCGAGTTATCTTTCCTTGAATCAAATTGACCAATCAAAACAAAACATAGCCAATTCTTTTCGGCTTTCCAAAGAAACCAATTTTCGGAATATTTTACACAATTTAGGGAAATGCCAACCGAAAATGAATGGAAATTTAGAATTTGATCATAAATATCAATATTTTTTGGACAAAATGGTCTTAGACAAAACTTACAAATCTGAAATGCATAAAAGAATTTTCAACTCAAACAAGGGATGTAACTCGTCTAGGAAATAAAATGTCGAGCTCAAAGGCAGTGATCCCATTAATGCGGGCACTGCATTTGCGGCCTGTAAAATCCATTAATTTTACATTTGATCCCTATGGTCCTAATGTCAGATCCACAAGGTATGTAGAGAGTCTATAACGCATCGAATACAGACGTCCAAGCGGGAATTTGGTGTGATTTCCTTTGGTGTCTCTAATTTGTCAACTACCTCTGGCACAATGTTTATGAGACCTTTCGAATTTTAGCCTTTAAAACCATGTGTGTCCAGAATAATCGCTGAAGATAGTTAAAAAGACGACTCGTCTTTTCTTGAGACACTGCCATATATAGAAAAGACATCTTTAGAAATATGAAAAGAAATTCCTAGTTTGAGATATTTTTTAACAAATGATGCAACTTCTGTACATTTCTAGTACTTCTGAAGACTAATTACATATATTTAAGACTCAAATCAACACCCCAAAATGGTGCAAATGTCCCTTTAACATCTTACCTCTGTGTGCAATGAGGGAAAATTTGCTAATCTGCTTTTATTCAAAACCCAAATCAACTCCAAAAATAGGGAACCAAGGCCTTAAATTTCAAGGATATTTTATATTTCAGAGAGGTTCTGTCTCTATTACATGTACCGAAAGTTAAATCTACCAAAGACACAGTGAAATTTGTGGTTGATGTCAAGGCCAACAGATGTCTACCTGAAATAGGTGTTGAATATGGTGAGTGCCCTGAAACTGCATGAACCCCCTGAATTAGGAATAGGTGGGAAATCCTTAAAGAATTTTACAGAGGTTTTCTAAATATTTAATGTGTACAGAGGAATGGAGTCAGCAAGTTTCACTTTCAATTCAGCACTGAAAACAAAATCAGTTGTTGTATGTTCATTCATTCATTGGCCCACTGTTGATTCTTGTGCTCATGGACATCATCTTCTGTCTAATACCTTGACTTCAATAGTCGTAATAGCTTGATATAGTGAAGATGGATGGACATGAGGGGCAAACATTCATTCATTCATTCATTCATTCAATCATTCATTCACTGGTACAATGATCATTATTTGGGTCAAGCCTTTCATTCATTCATTCATTCATTCATTCATTCATTCACAGACTCAATGTGAATTATTGCGGTCAAGCCTGAAAGTCATTCATTCATTCATTCATTCATTCATTCATTCATTCATTCATTCATTCATTCATTCATTCATTCATTCATTCATTCATTCCAGATGATGGTGATAAACTTTTATTTAAAATGGAGAACCTATCGGCAGCTGATGTACTGAAGAAAATATTGTTTTACTGCCAGCTGAAGGACATTAAGAAGGAAGAGCCCAACCCCATCTCTGTCAAAATGGAACGGAAAAAACCAATCAAAAAGAAATAGAATTTGAGACTTGCTAAAACAGTCTAAATTGGACCAGTATGTTTTTGTAGAATTGTAGGAGAACCAGGTGCCAGATTTTACTTCAGAAAAGTGTTATGACGCCATCTGGTAAACAAGCAATATAAATGTGTGTATTACTTTGACATATATGAATGGAAAAAACTGTGAAGTGTAATTTTCAAGAAAGGACCATTGGATAAGGATATATTAAACTATGTGTACTCTCTAAAATGTTTTGAAAATTTTAGAGATGGATTAGCATTATGGAGTTGGAAAAAAGGGAAAATTCCTTGCAAAGAAACAAAGTTATATTGGTTTACACAATAGCACACTGACAAGTGTGTTAAATTCATGAATACACGAGAACAGCTTATGATGCGGGCGTACAAACGGTCTTGGTCGAAAATTTTTGTCACTGATTAAAATCATGTGCCCATGCTTCCATGACAAGATTATCGCGTTCCCGACAGGATTTATAATAGCAGACAAGTTTGATAATTGTCTCTGATAGTTTTATCATCCAATCAGATTCATTTTCCTTTCAATAACATGATCCGCGATTATAGACTTAGTGGATAACGACTGACTGGAGATTTTTGTCTCCTCGTGTGCCCGTGCCGTGTGCCGCCCTGCCTGTGCTGTGTCGGTGAAACTTTTGACAAGACTCTAGTCAGTGACAAATATCTCCAACCAAGACAGTTGTGTGCCCACACCTTTAGATACAGCTGTTAATCACAACAAAATTATTTTCGCGAATTTGTGAATTGGCATTTAAAATAAAAAAAATGATGTGGTTTTTTTTTTTTTAAATTTTGAATAAAATATCTAATTGTATTTACTCTATAAATGATTTTTTGATGAAATGAATCCTACTTCTGTGTGCAATAAGGGAAATTTTGCTAATATGTCACCTTTTTTGAGGATATTTAACATGGTCATACTAATCATCTGATTCAACCCAGCTGTAAATGGGTAGGGATAATCCGGGTAAGATCAATACCAAGAGGTTTGACGAAGGACCAGCTGGTAGACAGGATCTTCATTATTCCAGTGTACCCAGCTGTAAATGGGTAGGGATAATCCGGGTAAGATCAATACCAAGAGGTTTGACGAAGGACCAGCTGGTAGACAGGATCTTCATTATTCCAGTGTACCCAGCTGTAAATGGGTAGGGATAATCCGGGTAAGATCATTACCAAGAGGTTTGACGAAGGACCAGCTGGTAGACAGGATCTTCATTATTCCAGTCTACCCAGCTGTAAATGGGTAGGGGTAACCCAGATAAAATCAATGCCAGGAGGTTTGACGAAGGACCAGCTGGTAGACAGGATCTTCATTATTCCAGTCCACCCAGCTGTTAATGGGTAGGGGTAACCCGGGTAAGATCAATACCAAGAGGTTTGACGAAGGACCAGCTGGTAGACAAGATCTTCATTATGCCTATAGACCCTGCTCGAAATGGGTCAAGAAATTGGTTTTTGAGTTCCAAATTATTACAAGATGCTTTGGTTATTAATGAAGCCAAAAATAATCATAAGTTAATTGTTGTCTGTGAAAATGATGGATTAAGGTTACCTCCCCTTTTTCCATATGAGCTGAATTACTGTGGTCTGATTAGAAAAACGACGACCTACCTTTACAACTGCTGAACATTTCAAAGCTTTTGCTGTCCTCCGAAGGCCCTGGAGAAAAAAAATTGCAAAATTAATCTTTTATTGTGATATTCAAGGCCAAAACGACCCATTGAATGAAATTGGGAGTTTTACGTCCATTTTTGAAGATTAATATCGCTCCGACACAATATGTACAGTGACTTTCTTAAAAAATGATGAACGAATAATCAAAACCAAAAGTATCCAAGTTGCTTGATGATTTAGTCGTAGTAAGACCATTCGGGAATACTGAGCACATTAGGGTACTCACAAGAAAACTTCTAAGGTTATATGTATGGCGATTCAAAGCCATTTCTTGAAATCTTTAGCCAAAAAAACACTTGAGACATGAATTTGACTATGATGTCATCAATCAATTAATATCGTAAAAAAACGAAAAGCTTCGAATGAATATGATGTCATAATGTAAAAAACGACAAGCTCTGAATGAAAATTTTGGTCTGTAAGAGTTATCTTTCCCTGTCATGGCGTCATGCTGTACACATTTTTCTAGAAATTTCATGATATTGAAGAACTTTCCAGAATTTTGAGAACATATTGGAAAAAATGGCGGAAAGATTGAGAGAAGCAGACGCGTCGATTCCAAGGGGAGATCCCAGACATCCTGGAAAGCCGTGTCGGGCGTGTATGGACTTTAAACAATGGATCGAAAGTGGACCACCTGGAAAAGCGTCTGCTAAAGCTAAAGTGGAAAAATCACACGAATGTCCGTTGGATAAGAATGAATTAGGACGCAATACGTGGTCATTTTTGCACACAATGGCTGCCTATTTTCCAGAAAAGCCTTCAACTTCCCAACAAACAGATATGAAAAGCCTCATTTTCAGTTTTTCGAAATTTTATCCTTGTGATTTTTGTGCAGCCGACATGCGAGAGGATTTGAAGGGAAATCCCCCAGTAACGACTTCACAGAAAGATCTTTCGTTGTGGTTTTGTAATTATCATAACAAAGTGAATGAAAAATTAGGAAAACCGACTTTTGACTGTAGTAAAGTGAATGAACGTTGGCGTGATGGATGGAAGGATGGGTCATGTGACATTTGAGAAGACAATCAATCAAGTAAAATCAAGGCAAATCAAGTCTATGACATTTGATTTGTAAATCAAAATTTATAATCATTGACTACCAAGCAAAAATCACCGAACAAGCGTGAAATAATTTGAAATCAAATTTGATTGATGGTTCTGAGACATTCTACAAATTTAGCAATCAAGAGAAATCAAGTATATGACATTTGATTTGTAAATCAAAATTCAGAAAGCATTGACAATCAAGACCAGTGAATTCACCTGCATAATGGAGATGCTGGGCTCAATTTTGTATTGAAGCTTGTGACAAATGGACAATTCTGTTTGATGAAATTGTAATTCTAAACTAAGAAATCAGAAAGCATTGATAATGTTTGTTATGTTTTGTAATTTTTAGATTTGATTTGAATTAGTACCTCATGTATATCTTAGAATACTTTATACTTGTAATAAAAAATATATTTTAAACTTTGTCACTTAGTAGACTTCGCCATTTTCGGGCGTTGATTTGGGTCTTGAATTTATGTAAACATCCTCAAAAAAAGCAAATCAAAACAGAAGTATTAAGATGTTAGAGGGATAGGTGCACCATTTTCAGGGGGTTGATTTTGGGTCTTGAATATATGTAAATAGTTTTCAGAAATACTAGAAATGTACTAAAAGCCAAGGTTCGATCGACCCCTGAAAATGGCGAATCAGTTCCTTTCATATTTGCTATTATTAGCTCTCCATTTTGAGCAGCGAGCAAAAAGTCCCATGATATTGGCAGGGCATACTAATAACTAAACTTCTGGAATACCTGATGCCACTGTGCAATTGGATTTGTCAATGGACTCTCCTTTGGGGATTATGACTAACAATTTCTATTTCCAATACTTAAAAAATTTGGGCGATTCATTAGAGGTGGTTTTTAGGCCACAAGGACACCCTACCCCACATTCTTTCAACGAAAACTTTAGAGTAGTAAATTTATTCATAGAGACACATCACTGATGGTTTCCGAATCTAAAACACGGGCAGCCTCAATTTCAGCATTCGTTTGAGTATTTTCAGCCTCAGTTTGAACTTCCTCTTGCTCCTCGGCAAACTTTTCCATGACAGTCTTAATCAGACGGCACCGCGGAGCATCACAATTGCACGGAATTGGATGGTCGTTATTCTCAGTTTCAATATCTTCCTCAACACCACTCAATTCTAACGAAATATTATAATGCCTTTTGTTGTTTTCATCTTGGGAGAGTTCAATATGGCAAGGGAGATTACTCCCCTTCTCAAACTCCAACGCTTGTGGAATAAATATAATAGTCTGCTTCCAATGAGTTTGTTCAGCAGATGGACTCGTGCTTAAAGTTAACGGCATGCTTATTTGAGCACTTTGCTCTGTGGAAGCGCCATTTTCAAAAGGACTATTTTCTTCTGCGGAAGGACACGTAAACACAACATTAAACCACGTGGCAAAGCCATGAACCGTGCAAGAATCTTTCAACTCAAATTCAAAAGATTTTTCAACATTTTCAATTTCATTCAAAGTCACCGATTTCAAATCGAACGCAATTATGAAATCAGATTCTGCTAAAATTTGTTTTTCGGAAATTTCAGTAACTAAAGGTTCTTTCATTGCCTCGGCCATTGCATGTGGCATCATAGGAGACAGGTCAAAACCATACACATTATTCCAATACTCAAAATGATCATTGTAATATTTTTCCATGTTGACTGGCGCCACTAAAAGATTTGCATGCGATGGCACCATGATTCCATTGGGTTTCAGGAACTTGTCTCTGGCAAATATAACGGAATCTAACATAGATTCATGTAGTAGATAAAACCCCATCCATTCCGAAACTATGACATCGACTTTTTCGTTGTTGGGAAGTTCCACATCTTCGACTCTTTTGTGTATGACTTCAATTTTGTCCTTAAAACCGTTGCATTCGACAACATTTTCACACACATCTGCCATTTCACTTGCTTCAACGGCATAAACTTTTTTGGCGCCTGCTGCGGCAGCAAACATGCTTAAAATTCCAGAACCGCTGCCAACATCCATGACGATTTTGTCCACAATATATTTCCGATTTTCTTCAAAGAATTTTTTATAAGCCAGTGTTCGGGGTCTGTCTTTTAGCATGAGTTCGTGAACACTGACATCATTGTAGCTAGTGAAGTAATCATCCCCAGCCGTTTCCTTTGTGACTTCATTCTCAGTTTGGCTGGTTTCCATATCTGAAAGACTTGACTCTGTTACAGTCTGGGCTTCATTTTTCATCTTCACTCAGCAACTGTAAAAGATGAGAGAGTTAAAGGGATTATAAAGAGGTTTTCGAAATTTTGTATGTGTATCAGGGACACTGATAGCATCAATTTACACCATTCCAATTTTCAATCAGACGTCTGTGGTTCCTGCAATTTCTTTTATTGTCGACTGTCTAACCACAATGGTTTAAAATTCAAATTTTGCTGATCATTTTCAGATTTCTGAGAATTGAAATATCTCAGGTGTGGAAAGACCCCATAAAACAGAGTCTAGTTTTTCTGACTCTACTCCAGCCAACAACTGCCAAAATATATATCAGAGCATAGAACTGTAATAGATCAGAGGCTGGAATAGAAACAGATGTTTCGTACTAAGACAAGATACTGCCTGTTGACTGTTGTGGACATAAACTGCAGCTATCTTTAACCCTTTTCAAAATGACAGTGAGGTATTTAGTACGTCTAAAAAGCAAAGCAACATATATCAAAGAGTATTCAAGACATACTGCCATTCAGAGATTAGCTAATCTTATTAATTAACTGGATTAAGTTAATCAAAGCACGTGTGTATGTTTGGCGGAATAATTGCTTCAAATTCTTACCTTCAGTCATAGAGAGAACGATTGAAGAACGATAACTCTTCTTGTAAGCTCTGCATTCAGACTACAACTAACTCAATCAAAAAAACCGCTTTTTGGCAAAATACCAGCATTATTCGAGCATTAATTCATAAAACGATTCACGAAATGAGAAATTATCAAGGAAGACAACTCTTCTCCATCCCACTGGGTTAATTCTGAAGCCACGAGACGCCATGCAGTATGCAAATAGGCATATATTGCCACGACAGCGACATCGTTTCCCCATGTCAGCCCTTCCGACTGACAGGGAAACAAGTTTGAAAAATCCGAACGCTCTAAGAACTTAAAAACAAGAGGGGGAATTGTTTGGGGGAGTCTCTGCCGACCAAAATCCCGCCGAACGAAACACAACTGAAAAATTTAATTTTATTAACAAAAAATGTATTTCGATCAAAATAACTGTTTTTATATAATGATGCCAAATTCAGAATGGACTTTTTAAGGTGTGGGCACATGAACAGTCTTGGTCGACGACTTTTGTTTTGTCAAGAGTTTTCTACGGGCACACAAGGAGACAAAAATCTTCAGTCGGTCGTTTTCCTCTCTGTCGATAATCACGTGCTGATCATGCAATTGAAAGGAAAATGAATCTGATTGGATGATGACAGGTCTGTCTTGCAGACGATAAAATAATCGGCGACAATTATCAAACTGGTTTGGTATTATAAATCATGTCGGGGACACGATAATCTTGTCGTGGAATCACAGGTACATGCGTGAATTTACTCAAAATTCGAGTCTGCGACAATATTCGGCGACCAAGACTGTTCGTGTGCCCACACTCTTACAGTAGCGACAAATTAGTTAAAGTTGGAGTATCCCCAGATTTGAAATACATGTATTTATCGTGAGAAACAGCTTTTGGATTGGACTAAAAGCATAGAGATATAGTCGCCTGGTAGAGCTCAATATCAGCTAACTGTACCCCTTTTCAGAATTCAAATCTCACGCCTGGTCACATAAGTAATTACGCTATAATATCGGCATGGCAAGGGTTGATGAAGGTCACGCAAAGCACGCTGTTTAGACGACTAGAGGTTTGCCTCTTTAAGATTAATGGATCCAACGAAAAAGTTTCATAGCAACGCATTTTGGGCTCAACTCTTTCAAATCCAGAACAAGGACCCTGTTCAGAAAGTGCTCAATTACCACAGGGACTGGTTGAACCAAGTCCACGGCCCCCAAACCTGCTGGAGGCCATATGACAAAAAAGAAAATTTCACGGGGAATGGGCCCCTAGTTGAGCTACAGCGTTCAGTAAGTTCGCCTACTTTACCAATGTGCCTAAATTAATATATGTGAAAGTTGGTCCCAATTACAG